CATGGGAAACAGAAACTGGAGTAAGGCAGGGAGATGGGTTTGCTACTGCCAGTCAGATGACGGGTGCTGGGGGCTCCCTGTGTACTTCAGCTCAATTTTTCCACCCTTATATCTTGTCTATCTATCTATGTATCTATATATGTCTATCTATACATATATCTATGTATCTATCATCTATCTACCTGATGATGATAGTTATATCATCTTCTAGAAAATTGGTATCCAAGTATCTACACCATTTTATATTTTGCCTAAATTTCAAAATTCTTATTATAAAAATGGCATATACTAAGTGCAAAGTAGAGATAAGCCAGTTCTGGAATCCAGCAAACATTTACTAAACTTAGGTACTATTATTGGAGAACATGGCCATACATTTTGTTGCATTGATGAAAGAAGATGAAAAGTAAATGTTTTCTCTCAGCCCAGATACGAGTACTGTAGGTTTTCTGGTGTACACGCCTCTACTCTGTTCCCATAAGTGTATTAAAAACAAACAAACACACACACAAAAATACCCAAAACCAAAACTCCCACGATTATATTGTATATGCTGTTTCATGCTCTGCTTTTTATTTAATTAATTGTAAACATAAAATTCAGCTCTTGACGACCTGCAAGAAAAGATGGAGTCAATGGGGCGAATCATGTTAACTGCAGGGAATTATTGTCATTATAAAAGCTACTGGCAACCTCTACATTAATCTCTGAGATTTTGCCTCTGATCTCCTTTTGAGGTTTGGGCCCCTGAAGCTTCTGCGTTTTCAAAGTTAAGCTCATTGCATATCTGCCCCCGCATCAGCTTCTCTGCGCAGCGCCAGTGGACCCCGGTCCTTCTGAGACCTGCACTGACAGGACCAGCACCCCGGCCGGGGGGCGGGGGGCCGGAGTCCCCCATCGCCCCGCTGAGCCCCGCCCCCAGGGCTGCCCTGCTCCATCGGTCACGTGTGCGTCCCTCCCACCCTCCCGCCTCTACCCTACGTGCGTCTATAATCTTGTGCTCTGGGGAGGGTCCGGGCAGCAGCTGCCTTTGATCAGCCCAACATCTGGGAGACTCGGCACTTCAAGAACGCTGACTGGTGATCAAAGATGAGAACGCTGTGACAGCGGAGACTTGGCAAGGACCCAGCCCGGCTAAATGCACTGGTGGGGGAGGGGAAGGAAGGACAGAGGGAGTTGGGGGGCGGGAGCGAGGAGCAACCCACCCAACCGCAGGGGCTTGGCGGCGGCGCGGGGGGGGGCAGTTAGGAGCATGGGCTTTGCTTCTTGACCTTGACTCGCGGTGCCTCAGTTTCCTCCTCTGCAAAATGGGGATAATAACGTGAGGACAAAATGAGTTCAAAAAAGAAAGAGTACTTAGAACAGAAGCCTGGATCCCAGTTTGAGCTCATAAATGCCAGCTGTTGTGGCCGTGCTATTAGGGCTCTTCTTATTCCTAGAGCCGGGTCTGGGAGGGAACGATAGAGTCTGCGTAGTCCCCAAAGCTGTAGTGCCTACTCATTTGTAATGATCTATTTTGAGCCTCAGTTTCCCCATCAGTAAAATGGAGAACCACACAAGATGTTGGAATTCAGTAAGGATTACTGCTTTCCATTTGACTCATGGAGAAACCGAGGTCTCGAGATGGGAAGTCATGCAACCAGGAACCAGCTCAGAGTTTCACCACCTGGGAGCTCTCCCTAACTGGAGGGTTGGGCTGCTGCTTGGTGGGCCCAATGCTGAGTCACTGTTTTTTTTGCTCAAGCCAAGAATTCTCCCATTATCTCCTACAGGCTGGGTTCAATAACATTACTACCAACAGCACCAGGTTATAATTTTATTTTATTTTATTTTAGGCTTTTGATTTCTTATTAAAGTATAACATACACACAGGGGAATGCACATATCACCACACTGAATTGTCCCAAACCAAACACACCCATGGAACCAACGGCCAAATGGAGAAGCAGAATGTTCCCAGCTGCCCCCTTCCCCAACTCCCAAAACTCCCTCGTGAGCCCTTCCGGTCACTACCCTCTCCATGGAAACTTCTCAAGTTGTTTTTATGCATTGCATGCTCACCAGGAACTAGGAGGGACAGGAAGTGGCCTGGCAGGCACTGGCCTCATCTAAACCTTGCAACAACACTCTGAGGCCAGCCCTGTTAAAGATCCCTATTTTACAGATGAGAAGACAGAGGCACAAAGAGTCTAACAAAATCGCCCAAGGTCACACACCGGTCAGCGAGGCTTCAAAGCTTTAAGCCGTGGCTGCAGGACTGTGAGCTCTTGCTGTTATAGGGATGATGCCTCTTGGAAGTGGGTCAGTAGGGAGAGCGTTTTTAATTTTTGGAGGAGAGGGGGTGTTAGGGAAGAAGCAAGCTTACATACAATAGTTGTGGGATGCATCAGGGCTTTTAGGAAATAGAGCTGTTCAGTGGCCCTGTGGGCTTTTAGGGTTGCTCCTGAGTTCCCAGTAAGCCGTGGCCAGTGGCCTGCTCTGAGGGACTGGAGGCAGCCCCTGGACCTCTCTCCTCTCAGCAATTTTTTCCTCCAAGAGCTCCATCAGTTCATAGAGGGGACATGCAGATGCACCAGGGAGAAGCCCACTCCCCTTTCCCTGTGGTTTTAGCCTACAGAATACCTTAGCCTGGGTCTGAAAGCAGAGCTTGAGGCAAGGGTTCATGTGCAGGCATTTGACTTGGGAATTGATCCCAAGGAGCAGGAATGAGGGACAGGGAAGGAAGGAGAGCCAGTGTGGGCATGTGTTACTGATTTGGCCATGGCTACAGGCAACTGGTGTGGCTTCTGCAGGACCTAGGAAGCCTCATGAAATGCATCTCAGAAGCATTCATCCATGGCATAAAGAAGGGAAGCATTTCTCCATTGGCTCCTATCCCCCATGGGTCAAAGTGACCTCATGACTGTTAACTGCCACCCACTTCTAGGTTGCACATTGGTGAACTGGTCCCCACATCAGTGGCAGGGGCAAGAGGGGGGATTGAGTAGATATAAGAGGTGCACAGAAGGTCTGGAACCCTGGATGCCACTCTTCTCAGAGTCCATGGGCTGGGGCTGGCTCATGCCCTCCATAGCCAACTGGTCAACCCCACCCATATCAGTCCTTCCTCCTCCCATCCTCTACTCTAGTGAACATACTCCCTCCATACCGCCTCTGACAGCACAAGACAGCACCTGCCTGACCTTAGGACATCCTTAAATTGTGTATCCCAAATATTCTCATGTTGAAGTTCTAACCCCTAGTGCCTCAGAATGTGACCTTATTTGGAAACAGGGTCATTGCAGATATAATTTGTTAAGATGAGGTCATGCTGGGGTAGCATGGACCCCCAATGCAACCTGACTGTTTTCCTTCTACAGAGGGTAACTTTGGACACAGACATGCACGCAGGGTGAACACCACATGAAGATGAAGGTAGCGATCCAGCTGAAACATGTACAAGCCAGGGAATGTTGAAGATTGCCAATCAACCCACCAGGAGCTAGGGGAGAGGCAACGAACAAACGGATCCTCCCTCAGAGCCTCAGAAGGGACCACCCTTGCCGACAGCTTGATCTTGGACTTCCAGCCTCCAGAACCGTGAGAATAAATTTCTATTATGTCAGCCACCCCGTTTGTGGTCCTTGGTTACAGCAGCCTTAACAAACTAGTAAACATCCTAAAATAGAAAAATTGAGCGCTGCCAAGGACAGGAGCTTCTCTTCAGGTGTGTTTTGGGTCATGGGCCAGCCTCATCGTTAAATAAAACAGCAGACCCTCTCTACAAAGATCTCATGTGCACGTAGGATTTTGGAAACAACTTTGGGCAGTCCTCAAATATCCTCAAACCCATCCATGTCTTAAAAGACATTCTGGAGACATGTAACTGCTCAGAGCAGTTTCAGGCAGACATGAGGAAGCATCTCTGAGCTGATTAAGTCAAGTGGATTTGATATACAGATGTTCTTTGTATGAACAACCTTTGTTGAAACATAAATCATGAGAAGGGAGAGAAGCCCAAAACCTTTCATGATGGAAGGAGTGTGAACGGCAAGAACTGTGGGTAAGGGGTTGGCACAAATAATGCCCCTTGAGTCATGTCACAGCTTCCGGCTCCCAGGAGGGGCCCACCAATGCTGGTCCCTTTCTGCTGGCCCCCAGGAAAGGGAGACATATAAGCAGGATCTGGAACTTGCAGACCAGAAAAAGTTACATGGAGCTGTTCATTTTAACCAGATTACCCAGATTTTCAGCAGATATGCACCATCACTGCTCCATCCAGATTCCCTCCCCCCGCACCCCCACTATTTTATTTTTTGGCATATCTGTGCGATCATCCTCTAGCTTCCGTGACCTTTCGCTCCTGGCATCTGCACCTGGAACTGTCTTTGGAGGTCTGCTCCCAGGCTACCGGCTGCCCTGCCTGCAAACCCAGAAGGCTGAGGTGCCAGGAGATAGACTACACCCCGGGCACCACCCTTAGCTGATGACAGACTGGTCCAGGAGCATGAAAGCTCGGCTTCTTTGCCTCGATGAGTTGAGAGGAGCTCTGAGGTATAATTTACGCTCCCAAGCTCCCCACAGGATCAGGCTAATCTGAGGCTTCGTGGAAACCTCACCCCGGCTTGGCTTCTTCCCTGTCCCCCTTCTGCTTCCCCCATCACCTATTGCTTCCTCCTGGAGCATTTCCTTAATAAATCACATGCAGAAGACTCCTAGTGTCCGTTCCTGCTTCTGCGAGTCTGACATAAGTGGGATGGTTTAGTCCGTTCAGAGGATCCCAAATATCTTCTCAAATATCCTGGACTGTCTCCTGTGGGCCTGACCCAGATTGTGTTTAAGTGATAAGAGGAGAAAGAATAGCAGGAGATATTATTATGAGAAAACTTTTAGTATTAGGGAAAACGTCCTTCCATTCTAAGGTGATCAAAGCAAAGGTCTGGCAATAAGCCAGAGTTTCTCCATCTTGGCACTATTACCATTTGGGCTTGGGTGATCTTTGTGGCAGGGGCTGTCCCGGGCATTGGAGGATATTGACCAGTTGTGACCACCAAACATTGGCAGATGCCCTCCAGCTGAGAACCACTGCATTAAACCAAGACCTGAGCGCCGAGTAAGACTTAGGTCAATGGAAGCAGCGTCCTATGCAGAGGAAACAGCCTGTGCGAAGTCCCTGAGGTGGGAAGAACTCGAATCATTGGAAGAAGAGAAGGGAGGTTAGTGTGGCTAAAAGCAGTGAGTGAGCGGGGAGATGGTCCAAGAGGAAGCTGGGAAGGGGGTCAGGGGCCAGATCGCGCAGGGGCTTGAGTGGCAAAGACTTCAGATTTTAACTTAAAAGCAATGGAAAGCCGCAGAAGTGTTTCCCCCCTAATTCGACGTGTAATTGTTGAATGTCTACTCCATGCCAGATACCATGTAAGTGAAAGTCAGAGGAGGGCTTTCAGAGGAAGAATCACAATGAGTGGTGAGGTCACCTCCGTATATGAAATGGTCATTCCCAGCTCCAGACTCAGGAACGTCATACTGATGTTTTGAAATCAGCCACAGAAATCAGTAAATATTGCAAATCAGGACTTCCCCCACCATGTGCCCCATGGGATCATGTTATCTGCAACCAGAAACAGTTTTACATCTTCCTTTCTAATCTGGTTGCCTTTTCTTTTCTTTTCTTTTTCCCTCCCTCCCTCCCTCCCTCCCTCCCTTCCTTCCTTCCTTCTTTCTTTTTTGCCTATTTCCCTGGCTGCAACCTCCAGTACAGTGTTGAATAAACACAGCAGGAGTGACCATCCTTGTCTTTCTCCTGATCTTAGGGAGAGTGGGGAATGCTTTTAATTAGTCTTTCATCGTTAAGCCTGTTGCTTGCTGAGGGTTTCTTGTAATCAGGTTGAGGAAGTTTGCTTTTTCCTTTTTCCTCACAAAAATGTTCGATTCCAGAAGGATTTGCAGAGGAGTTGCCTTGAGATGACCTTTACTTTGAAAAGCCTCCACTGGCCGTTTAGAGGAGAGTGGCCTGCAGGAGGCCGGAGTGGAGGCAGGGAGGCCAGGGAGCGGGCCGTGAGGGGTGCTGGTGGCCTCAGTGCTGCTGGTGGCCACAGAAAGAAGGGTAGAGCTTCAAGAGCTTCAAGAGATGCGGGAAAGGGGACACCGAAGGGAGTGCACCCGGCCGTATGCATCGTCCTAGGTCAGGATTACTAGAAGCAGAGTCTGAGGTAGGGATTCAGGAGAACTTGATTGATTGCTGGAGACCGCTGGGTCAGGGAGAGGGAGTGAGGCAAGCAGGAAGGGACAGGGATGGGAGCCCAGTCAGGGTGTGGCCTCAGGTGAAGTCTGGCCTCGACCTCACCCTCGGGGGACTCTGGAGCATAACTTGCATGACAGAGTTGCCCCCCAGGTCAGTCAATTATCAGCTGCTCCCAGTAGGTGGGGCACAGCCTCCCAGGGGTGTCCATCTCTGGGCGAAGTGGCTTGATTCAGTCCAGGTCAATTTCCCAGGGAAGGTTGCATGGTTGTGAGTCTCCTGAAGCACTCGGAGAAGCTCAGGGGCAGGTGCATCAGGGATAAAGGGGATGTGGGCGGGGCTTCAGCTCCATCTATCACGTTTTTGGAATGGACATAGGGCTCCATGTGGTGCCTAACAGGTCCAATGGGGTGTGGGACTAGTTTTTGCAAGTGAACCGCCAAAATCCTTGAAAAGATCAGGGGTGGCCTTGGAGTGTGTGTGTTTGGGTTGCCTAACCAACCCAAGTGCTTTTCCCAAGACTGAGGGGTTTCCCAGGATGTAGGACTTTCAGTGCTAACCAGGAGAGTCCCAGGCAGTAGTCACCCTGTTAGTGAAAAGCGACAAGGCGCCTATTACATAGGATTATAATAAAATATGCTTTGCCTACAGGCTGCATGCAGGTGGCACGCCTTTACAAAGTCTATTTCTAGTATTTATGTGGTGATAAACCGACCAGCGGGAAGCATTTTCCAGACATGACCTAAATTTCCTCCTAAAGACATCAGAAGATGGTAGTTTGGTGGGGGTTAATTTAAGCCCCTGTTTTGAAGGTGGGGAGATATTTACGAAGTCCTAGGGTCTCCAGTGCCCAAGTCACATGGCCCATGAGTGAAAGACCCCTCCTCACGCATCTGCTCTCTAACTGCAGTCTGGAAGTTAGAGGGATCCTGGAATTCAGATTTCCCACATACCCCCTTTTTTTTTTTTTTTTCCCCAGAATCTCTCTCTCTCTCTAAAAAGAGGGACTGACCAACTTAGATCCTGAAGGTTTCAAATTTCTGCTCCACCAGTGGCTCCAGCCTTGACTCAGCTCCTTCTACATAGACAGGAGATGCAAATGCCTGTCTTGCGAACTATCTCCCAGACCCTCTTCCCTGCTTTGCCAAGATACACAGTCACCACCTCTCCTCCCGAGCCTGGTGCCCAGCTGTCTCGGAGAGAATGAGCCACTTGTGAGTCCTACAGGGCAGCCCTGCCTGGAGTGGTCCATTGGCACGTCCAAGAGCATGACCTCCTCTGCCCTGGGCTCAGCTAGCTCCGGCCAAAGCTGGCCTGACTCTCCCAGGCTCCTGGGTGGCTCCTGCCCAGGAGAGGCCACACTACCTCCCACTCTGGTCAGAGTTCTGAGTTTTCTTGGAAGCACATGATGACAATTTTCAAAAACCTTATTTGACTTTTTTTCCAAAAAGAGCCTACTAAAACACTCTCACAGCCAAAGGAAATGCATCTCAGTTGGGGACTGCCCATGTTTGGGCAAGCTGATGAGAGATTTTTTTCTCCCTTTTTTTTTTTTCTAATTGAAGTGTAGTTGATTTACAATGTTGTGTCAATCTCTGCTGTACAGAAAAGTGACTCTGTTTTACACATATATACATTCTTTTTAAAAAATATTATTTTCCGTTATGGTTTATCCCAGGAGATTAGATATAGTTCCCTGTGCTATACAGTAAGACCTTGCTGTTTATCCATTCTAAATGTTATAGTCCCCTCTGCCTAGTGTTTTGAGAAAGTTGACAGCAACTTGGTTTTCCGTTCTCAACTTTTAGGGAAGTTTTTATTTCTCCTTTCTTTCTTTCATTAAAGTATAGTTGATTTACAATGTTGTGTTAGTTTCAGGTTTACAGCAAAGTGATTCAGTTTTACATACATATATATATAAATCTATTTGTTTTCAGATTCTTTTCTGTTATGGATTATTACAAGATAATTGAATATAGTTCCCTGTGCTATACAGTAGGTCCTTGTTGGTTATCTACTTTATATATAGTAGTATCTGTTTATCCCAAACTCCTAATTTATCCCTCCCCTTCCCCTTCCCCTTTGGTAACCGTAAGTCTGTCTTCTATGTCTTTGAGTCTGTTTCTGTTTTGTAAATGAGTTCACTTGTATCATTTTTCTTAAGATTCCACATATAAGCGATATCATATGATACGTGTCTTTCTCCGTCACTTTAGTGATCTCCAGGTCTGTAGATCCTGGGAATATCCCAGTTTATCCCCTCTCCTCCGTAAGACTCTGTCGGCTCATGGTCCCTCCCTTTTGAATGGAATTTGCGTAGGAACCTGTCACAGCAAATGTAGCATGTTGAGGATGGGTGAGGCGTGAAGGCTGAGAGCCTACACCTGAGTCTGTGATGTCCAGAACTGCAGGCGCTTTGCCTGTGTGAGATGAGACAGGAGCAGGGGAGGCTGCCTTCTGCTGCAGAGGAAAGTGGTGAAATTGAGCAGCTCCGAATGCCACCTGGGAAACCATCCTCTCCTGATATTAGCTGCCGTGGCTGAGGCAACCTGGCCAAGTGCATCACACACATAAAAGTGACCTCAGCCCCCGGTCAGGCCAGATCAAAGACTCAAATTCCTGGGCTAGGAGGTGTCTTGGGCTGGATGCCCCCAGAAGCGGACTCTGAGCCAAGGAATCAAGTGCAAGTATGTTTGGGAGCTGATGCCAGGAAGCCCTGGGCAGAGGGGAAGGCACTGAGATGCAACGGGTCAGAGATGGAATCGGGCCTGAGAACCCAGAATCCCTGTCTTTCACTCTCCTTTCCCAGTGGGAAAAGCATCGGTTTGGTGACTGGGCAGCCCTGTGCTTAAAAACAAAACTAAGTTGTCTGAAATGCAGCATTGTTTGAATACGTGTATGACATGGTTAGTTTGCTCCAGCTGCCATAACGAAGTCCTTAAACAGAAATGAATTTTCTCACAGTTCTGGAAGTCTAAGCTCAAGGTCTTGACGGGTTGGATTCTTCTGAGGCCTCTCTCCTTGGCTTGCAGACGGCCGTCTTCTCTTTGTGTCTTCATATCAGCTGCCCTCTGTGTATGTCTGTCTAAATTTCCTTTTCTTATGAGGACACCAGTCCTGTTGGATTACAGCCCACCCTAATGACCTCCTTTTACTTAATTACCTCTTTAAAGGCCCTGTCTCCAAATGCCAGAGCATTCTGAGGTCCTGGGGGTTGGGAGCTTAACATATAAATTTCTAGGGGACACAATTCTACCCATAACAGATGTTGACACTAGCAATTGGAATGCAAACCGTAGGAACCCTTTTACCCAATATTAGGATGGTTGAGTTTCCAGTTCATCCCTGGGGGTGTATTTATCCTCTACAATGCAGCCATTTACTGTATTTCATTAAGAGACTTGACCTACTGTATAGCACAGGGAACTCTTCTCAATACTCTGTAATGACCTATATGGGAAAAGAATTGAAAAAAGAGTGGATATATGTATAACTGATTCACTTTGCTGTACAGCAAAAAAGTAACACAACATTGTAAATCAACTATACTCCAATAAAAAATTTTTAAGAAAGAGACTTCTGGCCTGTGACATCCAGCATATGCCATGAGGCCATCATCCTGTGAATAGTTACTGAATCCCTGTTGGAATTAGGGGTTTAGGTGAAGGAGGAGGAACAAATGCCAGGTGGCTTCCACGAGCATCGTCTGCAGGGACTGAGATCATCATAAATCCATAGCTCTCAGACTCAGGTGCACATAAGCGTCATGGGGGGAGCTCTGAATAATCCCGGTGCCCAGGCTCCACCCCTGACCAATTACATCAGATTCCCTGCAGGTGGGACCCGGGCATCAGAATTTTTCAAAGTTTCCCAGGTGATTCCAGTGTACTGCCAAAGCTTGAGAAACACCTTTTTTAGGCTAATGTGTCCCCCAATAATACTTTGTGGTTCAAAGTCAAAGATTTGAGAAGGCTCCCATCATAAAGAGACTCTGTGATCATTCATATATAATGCAAATGACTCTTCCTTAAGGGATTTTGGGGGTTTTATTCCCAGGGTGGGGAGGGATTCTTTGCCCTCTACTCAGGCACCAGCAGTAATGTGGTTTACATGTAAGTTGGTCCCATTGCCCCCTCCCTCTGCTTCTCTATATGATCTCTCTGTTGCCCCTACTCTCCACCTCTCCACACCGTCTTGCCATCCTTCTCCATTCTGTTCTGTGTCCTGCAAGGCTGACCTATATGAACCATCAAGGGGTCCCCCCCTACACTTGGCTTCTGGCTGATTCTGGCCATAATGGAGCCTTGCCAGGAGAAAAGAAAAGGGAGAATGAAATCGGGGTATTGACTTGTGTGGCTCCCTCCCTGGGAGGTTGTCTTGGGAGGACTGAAGTTTCCTCCTTCATGAAAGCCATGAAAATAATGTGATATGTTTTTAACCGTATGCTCTTCAGCAAAAGTCTTGAAGCTTATTTGTGTGTTTAACCAGAGATGAACAGGTGATCAAGAGGCGTTCGTGGCACACCAGCACCAAGCTGAGACTCTCCCGTCCAGGTAATCCCAAAGATGGAATGGGAATAAACGAATGAGTTAGTGAACGTGGAATCGACTTTCCCAATGTTATTTGATGCTGTGCCCATGCAATAGATCCCTTCCTGAACCCCCGTGGGAGACGATGCACATATAGTTTAAAATGTACCTGGGTTTTGGTTTAATCAGGTCTCATAAGACACGCAGACACAGCCATTGACTACCATGAAGGAAAGCATTTATACTCAGAACTTCCGAGAAGCAGGAGGCATGGCATGGCACTGCGGGGCCATGGGTATGCACCAGGGTCTGTCAGGAGGCAGAGTCAGTGAGCGGAAAACGTGGGCAAGAGCTTTTCCTGTGATTTCATCGGGAAAGGCAGGGCAAAACAAGGCACAGTAAGCAGGCTCAAGATTGGCTACTTTGAGTAATTTCAGCAGGTTCTGGGGCATAGGGACTGTCCCTAGTTGCCTGGTACCTGGCCCTGGGGGTGATTAGGGCAGGGGGATAGTCACCTGGAGTGTGAGAGCCCAGTAAAGGAGAAGGTTGGCGTGTGGGCTCTGGACTGGTTGGTTTGCACAGATACACTTGCAGGCAAGTCCTTTACTGTCTCTAGGAATCAGCTAGCCCTGGGCGGGACGGTCTCTCCAGAGTAAGTATGGCTTCCCAACATCAAAACATCAGAAAATATAGCAAATGAAAAAATGTGATTAATACACCTGCCTCGCAGCAACCTTGCAGAGAGGGACAGGGAAGGCAGGGTGACCTCCCCCCACCCCCAGGCCAGGTGGAGGTCTGGTTAAATTCCACCTATCATAAAAGTGGTCATGGAGTTGCTAATGTCCCCAGGTGGCACTTGTTCCCCAGAGACCAGAACCAGCCAAGGGCTGGGGAAAGGGAAAGGAAGGAAATGAAGAGCAGGGAGACACAGATGACCAAGGAGCACCACGTCCTATCAGACAGACAGCTGGAGGAGACGAGGTGGCCAGCTGACAATCACAGAACGGGCAAACCCTGCCAGGGACCTGATAGTCCAGAGGTTCCCGGTGTCCGAGACCACCCAGGACCCGGCTAGCATCCACGGAAGGAGAGATGGACGGCAGGGAAGAGAGAGAGGAAAACAGGTCCTGACGTGTCTGGTTGGAGAATCCTGGGCTGTTCTGCAGTCTCACTGTTCGGATAGGAATGCTGAACCAGAGAGGGGAAGGGACTCGCCCAAGGTCACACGACGAGGGCAGGGAAGAGCGGGGACTGGGACTCTGGTCTTTCAGTGACAGAGGCATCCCTGTGGGTCCCCCATATTTCCTTTCTATATGCAGCTGAACCCTACTGTAGGTACTGCCTGGGTTTCCAGCTTCCCCTAGAGATGTGAGATGAGAGGGCATCAGCTCTGCGCTGGCCCCTTCCAACATGTCCCCATCACCTCAGAGTCCGGGGCAGAACATTTCTCTGCTTTTGGCTTACTTTGGGTTCACACACAAAACCCAGCCCCAGTACCTTAGCTCCCTGAAGCTGCCCCTTAGTGTAATTAACTAGTGCCAAGGCCTGGCACTGGTTATGTGCTGGGTACCCATTTGAATGTGTCCGTGCTTTATCTCACTTGCCCCTCACTATAACCCTAGAGGCTAAGTTTTATTATTATTTCCATTTTACAGAGAAGGAGACTCAGATCCATTCTGCAGATATTTCCAGAAAGAAGAGCAAGTGAAGGTCCTCTTCCAGATACTGGGTTCAACGTGCGTATTCGAGTTGCTTCCATATCATGAACTTCCTTCCATTAAACGCAAGCTGCTAGGCACTTAATATACACGATGCCATCTCATCTTTGCAACAATGTCATGAAATTGACACCATCAGCATCCCCATTTAACAGATGAGGCAGAAAGAGGTGATGTGTCTTACTCAAGGTGACGTGGCCACCCAGAGGCGAAGCTGCGGTTTGAACCTAGGGCTTCCTATGGCACGGTGACTCAGTAACCTATGCAGTGCAGAATGCAACTTCTCAGCCCCATCTCTTTTCCTTTCCAACTCCCTTTCTGCTCCAGCATCCCATTGCCATGGAAACCAGCTGCATGCAGCCGTAGCCAGACAGAACCTCACCTCATCTGTCTTTCTCACCTTTTGCTTTCTTCTCTGGGCTTCTCTGCCCACAGCAAGAAATCCTTCTACCATGTGGACACCTACACATACTTGGAAAATCCAGGAGTTAACATTCTCTGGGAAAACCCTTGACTCACGGGGTCAAAAGCTGGTGGATTAATACTCCCCATACCCTCCTCCTGTGACTTGGGTGGAAATATTTGAGGTGTGTTCTACGTGGTTCCTCAGAAGGGGCCCGGGTGGGGCTGAGCCCAGGTGTCTTTAGGGTACCCAGCTCAATAATGCACCTTTGAGTTGGCTTTTCCTCATCCCTATTTCACCCATCCGGTCCCTCCTCAGACCACCCACTGCTCCAGCTACCTGGGATCACTTCCCAAAATAACCTTCATCTTGGGCTCTGACGTGAGGGTACCTCCAGTAAGAAAGTTAACACTGTTCATCTATTTCAGTCTTCCTCAGCATCTGACCCATGAGGCTTTCTGTTCTCAGGCACTGTGGGAGCCTTTCGTTTTCTCCATGATCCTAAGGTAATTCTTATTTTCCCCTCGGTACAGATGAAGAAGTGACGGTTCAGAAGGGTTAAGTCACTTGCTCATCTGGTGTCAGTGACTTCACGGGGGTCTTGGGAAGTTTCCACAATTTGAGACTCACTATTTGCTGGACACGTGCTTTTCTCCCTCGGACTCTGCAATTCTTATGAGCTCACTAAAAAAGAGCACGATGACTCTCAGAAGCTGGGCTTTAAGATGTTTGAGAGTCTTCGGAATCAGTGGTTCTCAGCTTGGGGTGATCCACCACCGCCCCTGCCCCTGGTGACCTGGGGACATCTGACAATGTCTGGAGCCGTATTTGGTTGTCACAACTCGGGGTGGGGTAGCTACAAGGGTGGTAGGCAGAATAATGCCCCTCCGCCCTGCCCCAAAGATGTCCGTCTATTAATTCCTAGAAACCTGTGAATATGTTACAAGGCAAAGGGGAATGAAGCGTTCCACATGCCATTAAGGTTGCCTGTTGGCTGACCTTAAAAGAGAGAGATAATTTTGGATTATCTGGGTGGGCAAATGGAATCACAAGGGTCCTTAAGCGGGGAAGAGAGGCAGCAGAAGAGAGGCAGAGGAAGTGTGACCGTGGGCCAGAAATCAGAGACACGCGCTGTCGCTGGTTTGAAGACGGAGCCAGGGAATGTGGGTGGCCTCTCAGAGCAGGAAGAGGCAAGACAATGGACGCTCCGCTTGAGCTTCCAGAAAGGAATGCAGCCCCGCTGACACCTTGACCTTCACCCAGTCAGACCCTCGTCGGACATCTGATCTAAACAACTGTGAGATAATAAATGTGTGTGGTTTAAGCTGCTGTGTGGATGGTGCAATAGCAGCAATAGAAACTGAATGTGACTGGCATTCAGAGAGGCCCGGGATGCTGCCACACGTCCTCCCATGCCTGGGACAGCCCCCACCACCAAGACTCATCCAGCCCTGTTGTATGAACACATGATCATGGGTTTTAGTTTACATGGTATTCTTCAGATCTTTACTTAACTTTTTTTCTCCCAGAAACTTTCTTTAATTATCATAGCTGGAAGTAATCTCTCCCTCCTTTGAAGACCTAGCTCCTGCATCTCAATTATGATGTGTACCACATTCTCTTTACTATGAGATTGATACTTGTTGTTTTCATATCTCTTTAACCAGATAGTAAAGCTCTCTGTGGTCCCAGACTCTGCTGTACCCTTTCCTGGGACTGCTGTCCCCTTCCCCAGTGCCTGGATCAACCCCCCGCCCCACACGTTACAGTCCTGCTGCTGGAGTCGTTCAGTCCTGGACTCAAAGCCCATCTCAGCCACTGGCTCAGCTATTAGTTTCTGGACAGTGCACACATTATTCATGCCCACTAAACCACAGTTTTCTCAATTGAAAACGGGAATAACATATTCCACAGGGGGCTAGGGTGAGTATTGAACGTGGTAATGTTTCCCAAATGACCTAGTCAGTCACTTGACACGTGGTAAATATTCAGTGATGGTTAGTTTTCTTTCAATACACAGTGTGCGATAAATAAATGCTTGCAGAACAAGTGAATAAATGAATTAATGAATGACCACCTGGCAAAAAAAAAGAGAGAACTATTCCAGCCCCAAATGTCCATAGTTTCAAAGCTGAGAAGTTTAGAGATTATAAACATTGGTTGGGGCTGGAGGGAGTCAGAGGTCCCATTGGGAATTGAATGAAAGTTAGAAGCTTCTGCCCAGATTAGCATCTCACAGGCATGTGTACACATGTACACTTTTGCATTCAGTTTCAGGGGGTTCAGGGAAGCCCCTTGGAGTCCACAGGCTCAGGTTAAGAACTTCTGTTCTAGAAGAAGAGCATGCGCAAACTCTTCCCAGGTGCCTGGTGGGAGGAATAACCTGGAACAACGGGGAATCCTATGCAATGTTGTGGAAGCTGAGGGGAGGGGCACCTGGACTTCGATCCCAGCTCGGGAGAGAGACCCGATATATACATGGGCAGGACCGTGATTAAAAGCCAACACTTTTTGCAAAGACATTTTTCTTTTTTTTTTTTTTCCACAATCAAATCAGAGATAATCTGGTGTACTATTGAATAAAAGTCTAACTATCATCACATACCTTTCTAGTGACAATTAATAATAATGGTTGTGTGCATATAATAAGATGAAATAGGAAAAAGACAATGATGGAGTTTGGATGGGATAAACCTCACCGTGTTGTTGTGATGTTCAAATGAGTTCATTGATGGAAAGCATTTTGACATTGAGTCTCTACAGGAAATTGTTCTTACACCTGATTATGTTCAAGTGTGCTGTTGGGATTTACACGAGACTCACACACCTGTATAGACTATGTAACGTGTGCATACGTAGCATGGGGCCATCCGCCATGGAAGTTTGTAGTTACATGATGCCCAGTGGCTCCCATCCCCACCAACCACCTCTGTGTCAAGATTCCACCCGTTGGGGCAAATGGACCCCATTTTGTGCACCATTTAATTAGGAAAAAAATCCTTTTCCCCTAAACTCTCTGGTGGGCTGCACATCAGGGAATGTTTATTTGCCTGTGAACAAAAGAATCAAGGAGTCAGACCTGTTTTTGTAGACAGAGCAGCGGTTGAATGAATTAGTGCACAAGGAATAGATTCTGAGTTAGATTAGACACCATTCCACGTGGGGACACATCTCCTGGACCAGGGTGCTGAAATGCCATTGTATGACAGGGTTCTGAGTGTAAAGAAGAAATTGGTACAACATAGTATGGGGGCTTGGAGACAGAAGCCATTGCCAGATGTTTGGAAACGGGAACCCTGGAAGGCTTCACAGAGGTGGTGACATTGAAGATAAATCTTGGAGGACAAATGCAAAATAGTCAGGGACAAAGAAGAGAAGGGACAGTGCAGACACAGGGAGTATCACGTGTGTAATTATGATTTTCAGATCTCCCAGACAGCCCAAGGGAGAGATGAGAATACATAGTTTTTCCCAATGTGTGGTATACTTACCACTGGAGGCATAATAAAAATACAACAAAGGAAAAAGGTTTCATTTTTACCTTCTGTTCTGTTTGTGACTAATAATACTGGTTTTCCATTTTACTGTACTGATAAAAAATTAAGTATTTATCATTTATTTATTTATTTATTTATTTATTTTGCTGCACAGCATGGCTTGCGGGATCTTGGTTCCCTGACCAGGGATTGAACCTGTGTCCTCGGCAGTGAAAGCGCAGAGTCCTAACCTTTGGACTGCCAGGGAATTCCCAAAATTAAGTATTTAAAAAATAAAGGGCTTCCCTGGTGATGCAGTGGTTGAGAGTCCACCTGCCGATGCAGGGGATGCGGGTTCGTGCCCCGGTCCAGGAAGATCCCACATGCCGCGGAGCGGCTGGGCCCGTGAGCCATGGCCGCTGAGCCTGCGCGTCCGGAGCCTGTGCTCCACAACGGGAGAGGCCACATCAGTGAGAGGCCCGCGTACTGCAAAAAAATAAAAATAAAAAAATAAAGTAGGGACTTCTCTGGTGGTCCAGTGGTTAAGGCTCTGCGCTTCCAATGCAAGGGGCATGGGTTCAATCCCTTGTGGGGAAAATAAGATCCCACATGCCACGTGGCATGGCAAAAAATTTAAAAAATAAAGTAAAAAAGGTCAGTCCATTTAAAGGAGGAAAGTCATACGTAAATAATTTGGTGTGACAGAATTCTTAAAATGGTAGACAAATGACAGTCTGTTTTATCTACAGCTGTGTAACAGTCTACTCCCAAATTTGCTGGCCTAGAACACCATTTTATTTTGCTCACGGTTTTGTGGGTCAGAGATTCAGGAAGGGGTGAGCTGGGCATTTTCTCTTTGATTCACTTGGGTCTGCTGGGGTGGCTGGGACAGCAGGACGGCTCTTTGTTCATATCTGGAGCCTCAGAGCTCTGTGGCCTGCCCCACTCGCCATGTGCTGTCTTATTTCCCAGGGCCTCCCCGTGTAGCTTGGGCTTCCTCACAGCATGGAGGCAGCGACTTGTAGCAAGTGTTCTGGAGACTCAGGGGGCAGGTGCAAGGCCTCTTATGACCTCTTAGGATGGCTTTGACTATCCTGATCAAATGAGTCCCTAAGGCCAGCCCAGATTCGAGGCGAGGAATATAAGACTCCGTCTCTCCATGGAGCAGCCATCCTTAAACCATCACACAGGCGTCA